GTGCTAATCAGTGGTATTGGCGTGATATTGGGATGGTGTACCTAAATATCACCCCAATATCACGGTCCGCACATAGGGTCGACATACGTAATATTTACCCCAAATTGTGATTGTATCTCAAGGGTTTGGTAACGAAGGCAATGGTTTTGTGTGAAATCAGGAGAGTAGGTAGGGATGAAGTTGGATTATTTAAGCTATTTTTAATTTATTTATTGATTTATTATTACTTTAATTAATATATTATCAATTTAATTATGATTAGATAAATTTATATGTAATTATTTAATAAATATTTTATAAAAAATAAAATACATTTTAATATTTTAGTTATTTAATAGTTAATCAATCTAAAATACATTTATAATTTACAAACTTAAAAATTAATAAATTAATAATAATTAGTTTATTAAGCTTTTTTAAAATAATTTATTCATGTAGTGAAAAATTAATTAGTATGTTCAGAAATAAATTTAAATTTAACTTTAATAAAATAAAATAATTAATTTTTATCATAATAAGAAAAAAAAATCAAATTTTAATTATTATTTTTTATAATAACAAACACAACAAACTTTTAAATCCTCGTATAAGTTATCAAATAAATTTTCAAGTATTTAACTAGATTTATTAAATCTGTTGTCAAACATTTTTTGAGATTTAACCCTTTTAAGATATACTAAATCCAGATTTATAACATTTTTTAAATTCTACTAACTTAAATTCAATATGTTGTCATACATGCCTTAGCCAACATTAGTAGCTCTTACAAATTGAAATTTGATAGATGTGTTATTGGGTCGGATATCTCTTTTATTCATATGGGGTTTAGGGCTTGAATGTATTGAAATGATCCAAAAAGATTGTCATACTCTTATAATCTCAATTGAAGAGCACTAAATGTCCATGTGATTATCGTCTTTAAAACATTTAGTGAGAATTATAGTCTTGGCAATGTTTCACACTTTTAGCAGAGGTGTGTTTAATTTGCAAGAGATGATTAAGATGATGGAGTATTCGCAATTGGTGTTGAGTACCTTTAACTTCAAAGATGACAAGCAATGGTTAGCAACTTTATTGAAACATGCATGTAATGCAAGCTAGAATAAGTCATCATTGTACGAAGTGGCCATCACGTGGGAGGTCGTTGGAGTGCATGGGACACATGATGTTCTCTTAGCCATGGTAGTTCATGGTGATGTGATGTCTTGCCAATCCCATCAAGGCTATGTGTTCACTCAGGGAGGAGAAAATTGAGTGTTTTGCCAAGTTTTTTCATGAGTTGCTTTAGTTTATGACATAAAGTAGCACAAATTTGGCAACCTCGAGTGACTAAAAACAAATGCATTACAAGCGCTAAAAATGATATTTTTTAGGTCATTTGGATGGTGTTGAGTAGACTCAATATTTACAAAAAGAATGAATTGTGTACACACAAAATACTTCATGGAGAATTTTTTGTTATTTTATGATGCTAAGCTTCTATGAAATGAGATTTTTTAGGGAGAGACACTAAAAATACATAATATTACACCATTATCAATGACATGGGTTTCCTCAAAATATTGCTGATGATGAGTGATGAAAGCATTGATGAAGCAGTTAAGCAAGCTTTCCTGAAATTGTAATGTACAACATAAATTCATACATATAGCAT